ATCTCAGCCTTCAGAGGCTCCTGAGGAACTAGAAACTTCAAGTCCTCAGAAGGCCCTAGCCCAGCTTTTGGAGACATGTAAGGAGGTTGTAGTTCGACTAGTAACACATCATGGGGTAAATGAAGCTCAGCAGTCAAACTTGTGCAATGTCACTGTTAAACCTCTGGATCTAGCACTTACCATAACTCCACAGGTCACCAAAGAGGTTGAACCTTCTCCAACCCAGCAGGAGCCCACAGGTCAGCCTCCAGAGCCTCTTGTGGAAGCTGAGCCTTCTCCAAGTGAAAAGGAGCAACCGACTCAGTGTTCTGAGCCTCCAGCAACCCAGCAGGAGACCCCAGCTCAGCTTTCAGAGTCTTTTGGAGAAGCTGAAACTTCTGCAACCCAGGAGGAAGCCTCAGCTCAGTCTCCAGAGCCCCCTAATGAGGCAGAATCTTCTCCAACCCAGCAGGAGACCCCAGCTCTGTCTCCAGCGGAGATAGAACCTTCTGCAACCCTGCAGGAGCAACCAGCTCAGCCTCCAGAGCCTTCTTCAGGGGAGGTGGAACCTTCGCCAACTCAACAGGAACGGCCAGCTCAACCTCCAGAGCATCATGAAATGACAGTTTCACCTCCAAGTCACCCTCATGCTCAGCATTCAAACTTATCCAGTGTCACTGTCAAACCTGCAGACGTGGAGCTTACCATAACAAAAGAACCCACTCCAGAGGTGGGCCCTTCTCCAAATCAGCACAAGCCTTCAGCTCAGCCCTCAGTGCCCCTTACTAATGCAGAATTTTCTACAACCCAGCATGAGGCCCCCACGCTGCCTTCAGAGCCACGTGAGGAGGTTGAACATTTGCCAGTTCAACAGAAGGCTCCAGCCCAATCTCCAGAAGCTGGTACACATAATAAACCTTCAGTACAAGAGGAGACCCCAGCTCAGTATCCAGAGCATCCTGGAGAAGAATTTACACCTGCCACAAGCCAGCAGGAGACTTCAGCTCAGCATCCACAGGCTCCTGAGGTTGTACCTTCTCCACCTCAGCAGGAAGCCACAGCTCAGCAC